AAAAATTGTATGTTTAATGCAAAAAATATGTTGTTTATATTCAAAATGATCACCAAATTATAAGAATTCCAGCAATGTAAACTATATTCTGGCTGGGTAATTTGTATGAATTTTATGAGCTAAAACAGGCAGTCAGGCAGGGTGGCGGGTGGGGGGTGGTGCGAATCTAAAAATAGCTCTCGAGCCGGACACTCACCGCGTTGCTGTGGAAAAATCCGCGTTAAGTGAAAGTTCAGCTTTGGCAAGGCACCGCGTATATGCGAAAACGCGTTAAGTGAAAGCGCGTTAAGCGGGGTAATACTGTATATATATATATATATATATATATATATATATATATATATATATATATATATATATATATATATATATATATATATATATATATATATATATATATATATATATACTGGATAACACAACAATATCATACTTTATGTACTATGTTAGATGACTGTTGATAAGATGCAGTAAACATTGTTTTATTATACTGTATAGTAGCTGTAATTGGTCCTTTTTATCAAAATAAGTAGCTTTATAATTGTATTTTTTTAATGAAGGTAGTTGTGTATGTGAGACTGAATGTGATAGTTCTTAAGGTGACTGTTTTAGATCAAAACCACTTTGATAAATTCAGTAAAGTACTATATGTATACAGTACTGTATATGTCTTGAGCATTGTTGACACTCTCATGCATATATTTTATCCTGATTTATTCATTGTTATGGCAGTGATGGAAAGAAAACTTCATGATAGTTGGTACAGTAGCATATGGAAGACATAAGTTAGGATTACCACAAATTTAGTTTAAATATGTATTTATTTATTTTTTTAATGAGGAATAACCTACCTGGGCACAGGTCATCGACCTACAACGGGACCCTGGGGGCAAAATAATAAGAGTAAAAAAAATTAGAATTAGAGGAAAAAATCAATCTATACTACGAAGATGCCGTAAAACCAGCTTTTTGATGTGAGACATTGTAAGAGGGTGGAAACACAGAAGAAGGCAGAGCATTCCACAGTTTGGCTGTGTGAGGAAAGAAGGATGTACTATAACGGGTTATTCTAGTATGACCGACAGCCACACAGAAATGGTAGGCACCGTGGGCAAGATGAGTGTTACGAGCCCACGGCCTTGCCGACGGTACACAGGATGCCAAATCCACCGAACATTGCCCGTTAAAGTACCTGTAAAAGAGAGAGAGTGAAGCAACATTGCGGCTTAGAAAAAGGGAAGAAAGATTGTCAACTAAAGGAGAGTCAATAAGACGAAATGCTTTGGATTCCACCCTATCTAGCAGTTGGACAGAAGAAGAGCCACCCTAGATATGAGAGCAGTACTCCAAGTTAGGACAAATGAATCCCTTATATACTTGAAGCAATCACTCAGGAGTGAAGTAGCTACGACATCTGTACAGCATTCCCAGCTTTTGGGAGGCAGCTTTAGCAATGTTGTGGATAATGTTAAGACATCATCAACTTTCAGGTTATAGTCACATATGTACATTATCATTAGTGTTTTCATTTCAGTAAAATTTCCTTAACTAACTGCCAAAATTTTTCGGCTTTCACCCAAAATCCAAACAGCTGTCACAATACGGGATTAAATATTTTTTTGTAATTCATGCAAAAGCTTTTTTGTTTGTGTTTGTATGCTGTGTTACATGTTATGCTGACACCAATATACAGTATACAGTGTACTACGTATTTATACACACAAGTGACCCAGTTCATTATTTTGTTAAATATATTTTTATAACTTGATATCAGTCATGAGTCACTTGAAAATATGTCCACAAAGACAGTGGGTTCAGGAACTTTGGGAAGCCCAGAATTCTGTGGCTTGGGTTAATATGACAGTTGGCCATTGCCCCTCTTGATCTGAGAAACTACAATGCAGTTGCCTGAAATTTAGGAGGTAATGGGTCATAAGTTTGCACAATGAATTAAAACCCATTTACTGAGTGGGAAACAATTAGCCTCACATCCAGCTACAACCTCCTTGAGGTAACACTTGTCCCCGGCTCCATCTAATTTAAGGAGAAGATTATGACCTGCCCTCGAACATAGTGTGCACCATGAACTTTGCTAGGCTTTGCTGCCTTAGTTGTTGATGCAGGGAAAGAATACAGAATATGAATTATCATTTGCAAGTTATTACTTTCCTAAACAGGGAATAGCTGATGTATGATTTATTATTATTATTATTATTATTATTATTATTATTATTATTATTATTATTATTATTATTATTATTATTATTGCAGTATTATTATTATTATTATTATTATTATTTTTATTATGAAGGAGCTGCCCCCATACTTGTAAGAGGAATCAGTGTCATAGTTTGGGGAAGTGAGAAGAGATGAATAACTGTGATTTACACCTTGACTCGGTTTGTACATAAAATCCTCATCAAGAATCATTAGTAGTGTTCTTTAAGGGGTTGTGTACTTATCCATGTTCATTTTTGTGTGAAACATGGACTGGCCTTTCTTGGAGTAGTACAAGATGATTGGGCCCTAAAGGTTGAGTTAGTGGATTATCTCCTCAAGTATGAGCAGCTCAAAGGTTCTATCCCCAGGAATGGTTTCTCAGAGGGTTTATCAAGGCCATATTCTCAATGTTAATATTGCTCTTGTTAGCACATAACACCCTATTGGCTTGTTTTCCTTTGGATTACTGGATGAATTGTGTTAATGGATTCTTACTTATCTGATAGGCTTTAATTTCCCCGTCCTCAACATAATCCAAATTGTCTTCAGTTTACATCTGTAACTTTGAGTCACAGGTAAAATAGAGATATAGTTGCCTAACCTTGTCCTTAATTTACTTGCCTAAATTTTTATGGTGGTTTATTTTGTTTTTTGGGTGGCTAGTTAGTAAGTATGGTCTTTATCTATTGTTGCTTTGCATTTGATTTGCTGGGGTTAGGAAGGATTTTTATAATGGAAAGAAATGTTACTCCTCCCTGTGACTTGAACAACTCCAGGAATGGCCTAGAGTTGAGGGTTTAGGCATATTCAGCATTGTTTGTAGCTAAGACATGGGTGGTTCTCCCCTGTTGTCCCCTCTATTGTTAGCTAGTTTCTGTATTCATGAGTCATTTGTGTTGCTGGTAGTTGTTGACAAATTATAAATATTCGATTGATTATGAAACCCCACTTTATAACTGAGGCTGAAAAAATACTCAGATCCCACTTTTCTTTTGTGTTCCTTGTATTTGTTATTTTATTTATTTATTTGTTTATTTGTTTAACTGAGCCTCGTAAGTCAAGAATTGAGTAACATTGGACTATGAAATCTCACAACTCACAGTTCTCAGCCTTTTGGAAACTGGAGCTTCTTGGACTCCCCTTTTTTAACTGTTGGTGTTGGGAGGCAATTGATCTTCACATTAGCCCCAGCAGCTGAGCTTAGAGCTTCCCTGTGGGTCACAGATTGCAATCAATGAAGAGGGAGTAGAAATGGTGTTGTGTTTTCCTATGTTCATTTAAATTACACATTCATTGTCATCATTTTTCTTTCACACCACCTTGTACTACATCAAGCACTAAGTACACTGATGTTTGAGAATGGTATCCTGGTCCTTTATATTGTGGCTCTTGGTGCAATTTACCTAGACACTGATGTCATCCACTTCCAAACAAGCATTTTATATAAATAGGCACGCAAAGAATACTATACAGTATGTAAAATGCTTTTTTTGTTTTGTTTTTACAAATATTAAAAAAATGAGAGTGGAAGGTTGAGGTGGCACATAATACAATACAGTACTCTCAATAAGTGAGGGGGGGGGGGGGTAATGGTGGCTTTGTCTATGGCTGACATTATACAATGCATTTAATTTCAGCTATCTTTCTCTAATACAATTATACCAGTACATGTGGACAAATTCCTTCTCCATATTTTAAGCAATACTCACTGCTTCCTACAAGTCCTTACAATTGTTGGGAGTATTTGAATTACCTTTGAGTATACAGTAATATATATTTGGGATTAACCTGTCATTCATCACCTAGGCAGCCCATTTATATTATGGGGTGCACTTTGAACAGGTTAAAACTTTTTTTTCAGTGCCTTTTAGTCTTTTGAAGAGTACAGTACAGTACAGTACAGTACAGTACAATACAGTACAGTACAGTACAGTACAGTACAGTATATCTGAATAAAAGTGAGAGTTGGATAACACGATGGAGATGGGAAGACTAAGTAGATGGAAGGATGAGATGAAGAATGCACGAAAAAATGTTGTGATAGATGAATGTCCAGGTAGCAGCAGTGTACCTGAGTAACCAGAGAGTATGGTGTCAAGTGGTTCTGTGGATATCACAAGAATTTAAATGAATAGATGGCAAAAATGAAGAGAGTCGGTTTTAGCTCTCATTTCAAGTCATTTGCAATATATAGTAGTGGGAGAGAGCTTGCAAGAACAAAAACAATTTATGTCAACCCAAATAGTGAATTTATCCTTGTCAAAAACTAAGAAATATTTATATCTTGCCAGCAAGTTTCATACCAGTAATGCTATATTAGAACTGTTACTGTGAATGACTAAAATGTTCATTTCATTAGTGTAATTCATCATCACACATTATTAGTAAATTATATGTCTATGTCACAGGTAAGGCTTACCCCCAGTTACACTTTCTTGTTGGCGACATTTTGGGTACAGTCACAGGAGATGATGTTAATGATTTGGAGAATTGTTATTTAATTCTCAGGACTCTGTATCATGCACTACTTATAATGTTTGGTTTGAATTTTGAAAATATGCTGGTGGTTGTTAGTCTTGTGTTACATACACAATACCACAGATCTGTGTCCAGATTTCTTGTTTTATTGATGAAGATTTTCTTTTTGGGTAAGTTAACTTTCATGTTTTTTAATACCCCTGTACTGTAATGAAGGAAATGTTTAATTTCAGCCATTTAGTGTGAAATATAACCTGTGTGTGCAGAATTAGATCACTGAATAGGATGGGCATCCTTTACAGATCAGCCTGACCACTGGTGGTCAGAGTACCAGCGGAGGAGGAGCCCTAGAAGTTGGGAAGAGCCAATCTACTATCTACGATTTGCACAAGAATCCCTTCTATTCTTACTCCAATCCCGAGAAAGATATTTTGATACGAGGCAGTTACACTTTCATGGGGAAGAAAAAAAACAAAAAGCCATATTCATGTGCACAGTGTCCATATGCTACTGCTTCAAAGAGTAATCTCGTCATTCACCTTCGTACTCACACTGGGGAAAGACCATATTCCTGTCCTCAGTGTTCATTTACTGCTTCCTTTGAATACAATCTAAAGGTTCATATGCGAACCCACACAGGAGAGAAACCATACACATGTCCAAATTGTCCTCTAAAATTTTCTCAGAAAGCTCACCTTAAAAATCATATTTTTACCCATACTGGGGAAAAGCCATTTTCCTGCCAGATGTGCACAGCTAGATTCAGCCGAAGGAGCAATCTGAGGAGACATATTAGGACACACGAGTAAACTCTTCTGTGTAGCATAGGATGATGTAGCTTGTGATAGAAGCATGTAACTAATACAGGAGTCATAATGCATGAATGCTGTACAGTATTTTCATTCCATTTTTAGATTTTCGTGGCATGCTGAAGAGCCTGTGCCTGTTAATTACATATAGTTGTGTGAATATTATGCTGGACTTTCTTTGGTTATCTAGTGAAAAATCTTAAGTGGAACTACTGTATTTCTAATGCCTCAGCATAATTATATGTAATATATGCTTTATTAATGGCTGTAGACCTTAGTATTCATTCGAAGAATACTGAAGAACCACAGTGTAGTATAATATATTCTTTACAATTCTTGTACAGTTTTGGTCACTATTGACCAATTAACTAAGATCTGTCTTTTTTTTTATAGTATCCACTATAGTGTGAAGAAACTGATTGGTTTCTGGTTGCTGAGTCACAACCTCACATCAACAAATTTAAAGCCATCTTTTTCTGGTTAGGGTTTGGTCAAATATATTCGTGTGAAAATATAGACTTTAACCTGAAAAATTCCACGATTGTACGTATATTAATACTTAGTATCCAGCAATACTGTACGTACAGTATATGGGAGCTGAGATAAACATGAGCACAGCTTAGTCAATAGGTCAATTAATAAAAAGTTTATGAATGAACATATGCATTATTTAACTTTTGAGCGCATTGATAAACTTTGAACCAAAAGGTTGAGGCTACAGAGGTTCTCTTCAATAGCTCCATTGCTTCCGATTTATCTAACTTGGTAATTTGGATTCCAGTATCTGCCATGTCACAAGTTTATATCGGTGATATGTTTTACTTATTTGAGTATACTTAACTAAGTCTCAGGGCAATATTATGGACTTACACCATGAGGGGTAAAAATCAGATAAGTTTTTGTAAGTGAGAAGTACTGTACTCATGTTCATGTTGTTTGATTTTTAATAAACATTAAAATACATTTCACCCATTTCCCCCAATGCAATACTCTGCCAGTCAGAATACAGTACACTATACTGTACTGTACTGTATTACTGTCTAGACAACTCAACAGACCCCCAGAGTAATCCCAGTGGGATTTTTTGTTTACATAATAATGGTGTTAATATATGTTACATAGTGTTTTACTACAATTTTAAGTAAAATATCATGATTATATACAGAGAGGGAGAAAGTTGATGTGTTTACTGGTGGTGCCTATGTTGCTGCCACTCTCTTTAACCCTTTAAGTAGTGAGTCCCAATTTTCCCACTATGCTCAGGGCAATAATTTTGGAAATATATAAAACTAAAATAAGCTTTATAAAGTTGTGGACTAATACAGTAAATTTTATACATTAAAATAAAATAAAATATATAAAAGGCAGTACTGTTCAGTACTGAGAACTGGGTTCAGATAAGGCCAAATTAATTTTCTTCAGAGAATGAGAGTGAGCTTGCCCTTCCTCTCTGACATCTTGATACACACTGAGACTTGGAATGATGGTCAAGGTAGCAGTAGCAACTAAAGAGGCCATAAATCCCACCAATTTCTTTGAATGTCAGTGGGAATAATTGAAATGTAATATTATGTACTTACCATATTAGGCCCATAGGGCCAGGTACAGACTGTTACACATTTACTGCTCAAAGGGTTAAACTGCCACTGTAATATATGAATAAGTTTCATATTTAAAGGTACAGTATGCTTTTGGCTAAACAAGTTTTGGTCCAAGCACAGGTTACTGATATAATGGCTCTCATGATTTGGTACAGTTCTTGTATTACTTGTTTGTTCCCTTCTTGTGATATAGTTTATATAGAATGTGAACCATTGATGTTAAAAATGGGGGATAAATATGTTAATCAACCCATTTTGTTGTTGATAACTTATTAGCTTAGTGATGGGTATGGTTGCAGTAAGTCACTCCTTGTGTAAAAAACTGCAAAACATGATACATTATATTAGTCATGTTTAGGATCCATAAAGTGAATACTGACCTCACCTCAAGAGATGCACACTGAGACACAATGAGGAAAATATTTTGAAACATTACTACTGGTATTATGATAATCTTTTATTAGACATTATAGGGATAATTGAAAAATTACAAATGTTATAATTTTTATTTTTCTTAATTCGATTTGGTCTTTATATAGTATAGGGATAATCATGTACATAATCATAATGCCGTGCAAACTAGTTACTGTATAAGATTATGCCATCCTTGCTAACCAAACCTCACTTAACCTAAATTAACTTGCCCTTTCCTAGCTCAGTTTCAATATAGTTTGGTTATGATTATTACAGTGTGATACTAAAAGATGCCTGAAATGAAACAGAGTAAATCTGACCACATATGAACCAATTTCTGTTATAAGATAGCAATAAGAACAATGTTATTTCTGTTTGGCAAAACCATTAGTAACATTCTAAGGTTTAATCTGGTGTGTGTGTGTGTGTGTGTGTGTGTGTGTGTGTGTGTGTGTGTGTGTGTGTGTGTGTGTGTGTGCGCGCGTGTGTGTGCGCGTGCGTGCGTGCGCGTGCGTGCGTGCGCGCGCGCGCAGACATGTAGCCTGACTGGTACTCTTAAGAAAACAGTGGATCCCTGTAAAAACAACATAGGCTCTAATAGGCAGGGCTTGATTATTGAGCCAAATATGAAGTACACATCCATATTGTATATGAAGTAACGTGGAGCAACAGAGACTAGTAAAAAGACCAAGAAGAAGGTGGTGTGGTGTGGTGTAAGAGGATCTTTTACTCATTAGAGAGGATCCAGAGTGATGGACTGAGACTAAAAAAAGCTGTCAGGGATGGTGTAAAATTGTAAGAACAGCCATGGGTCTCGATAGGCCCATCATGCCAGCAGGAAAGAGAAAGTATGTACTAGGCCATATTGATGGTAAATGTAAACAAAATAAAAGGAGATGAGGGAGACAGAGTTGAATTACTGGAGAGAAATTGATAGGAAGATTTAAAATTTGTATGGAGACAAAACTTTGTTCATGGAGGCAAATATGGAGACCTGCTGGGAAATGTTGAGGTGTTATCATTATATATGTGTGCCAAGTACTGTATTAGCTTTGTGCACACAGTACAGTACAAGGAAGGAACAACTTAAATGTGTCAGAAACAACATGCTTGAGACCACTGTGTGGAGTAAATAGGATGTAAGGAATAACACATACAGAGATGAGATGTGGAGGTGAATGATGTATCAGACAGAGGGCAGAATAGGGTCTGTTACTAGTGGCATAAGTTATGGGACGTGAGAGATTGGTAAAAAGTACATCAGAAGAAGAAGGAAGGATGGGGTGAAGATTACACTAGAAGGGAGGGGGATAAACATCCATGAAAATGCAGTGTGTCAACGAATGAATGGATAACATGCCATCCACTGACTTTTGGGGATTGACATTGGTGTGGTGTGATGTGGTGTAGCATAGTGTGGTGTGGTGTGAAGAAATTTTGAAGGTAAGCATTGTAATCAGTTGTCTACCAAAGCTGAAGAATTAATGAATAAACCTAAAGTACTGTAATTTAAATAAGGCAAAGAAAGTGGTCTAAACATAAACAAACCAATGAGCATTACAGTGTTCTTCTCTACAGCATGGCAGACCAGAACCCTACTCATAAGAAATTGTATAGCTACATATGACAACATCTTTTTTCTTGAAGACATGATTGACAGCTGATCCATCCCTCTCCAAAGTCTGGCTTACCCACTCTACTCTAAATGCAGATAAGGAAATTGTACGCTGAACAAAATTATTTATGATCAATATAGATCATAAGAGTTAAATTTCCAGCCTCTGAATGCTCCTCATAGTTTAATAGTTTGGTCAGAATCATATTTACAGTACAGTTAACCCTCACTTTACGCGGTTAATGTAACCCGGAGGGTCCCGCGTAAAGTGAGAAACGCGTAAAGTGAATAACATAACATATGGGATTAATTGAAATGGAGTCCGGGCCGATCCCCAAACTCCACTTTTTGACGACACACTACTATGTTGTAGTAAAAATTTTATCTTAACTTTATGATGGTATGAAAAAACAAGTAATATAGAAGAGGGTTAGGTTAGGAAAGATAAAGGTTAACATAGGAAAAATAAAGGTTAGGTTAGAAAACTAAAAATTAGGTGTAACACTTACGGTAGTAGAAGAGATGGGTCGGCATGGCTTCCCTGACAAATCCCTCAAAGTCATCTTCACTGCCACTATCACTGGCTTGGGCTGGCTGTGGTGGGTTGCGGGCGAAGAAATCTGTTATGCTTTGCTGACGGCTGGTGTTGATGTTGTCGTGATACACCTTGATGTACGGCTCCATAGCCTGCACCAGCCGGGTATGGAAAACTTCATAGCGGTCATCGTCATTGTCGCGGGAAAGGAAGGACTTCATCTTCTCTGCACACTCCATGGCACCCTTAATATCACTATGACTTAAATTGTGTTCTTCGGAGAATGACCACCTTCTTCCTCCTCTTCACTGACGTGTTCTTCTTCCAACATCTCGTCGGCAGTCACTTCAGGATCTCTGATCACCTCCAGGATGTCGTCGTTGGTGGTCTCGGAGAAGCCTGGAACTGTAACAGTCTGCGCAGCTTCTCTGGCAAGGTCCACTGCTACTGCAACATTCTGAACCTCACCAGTCACAGATTGACTCCTCCTCTCACCTGGTATTCCATGCAACACATGTCTCCATGCGTGACGAATTGTAGCAATAGACAGCTGATCCCATGACTCCACCAAGAAGTCCACAGCTTTCTTGATGTTAAATACTCTCCAGAATTGTTTGAAGAGTATTTTTTGCTGTTCTAACTGTTGATCCTCATCTTCTTCGCTCTTGCTATCGGTGGTGGTGTCACTCAGGTTACGCAACTCTTCCCTGGTGTTGGTGTAGTCGTTCAGGAGCTGGAATTTTTTTGGTTGAGAATGCAGCTTTCACATTGCAAATCAACTCCTGGTCCATGGGCTGGATTAATGACGTAGTGTTGGGAGGAAGGAAGACCACTTTTACGTTGGGGTGACGATCTAACAGTAGGGGCGAGTGTCCTGGTGCGTTGTCCAGCAGCAACAAAATATTGAATGGCACATTCTGTCGCTCACAGAATTTTTTTACATCGGGAACAAAACAGTCATCAAACCAGGAGAGGGACAGTGTAGAGAACATCCATGCCTTACGTGCGGTCAGCCAGTGGACATTTAGCTTGGTCATGTCCATGCTCTTGTAGGCGTGCGGCTTGCGGGCTGTGTGGATCACCGATAACTTGAGCTTACAGGTACCGGAGGCATTGGTGGTAAACAGGACGGTGATGCGTTCCTTCTGCATTTTCCGGCCCCGAATCCTGCTGGCATTCTTCACAACGAAGGACTTGGAAGGTAGCTTTTTCCAGAAAAGACCAGATTCGTCCATGTTAAACACCTGGTCGTCACTGTACTGTCCTTCCTCCATAATCTCACGTAAAAACGGAGGAAATTCCCGAGCCGCAGCACGATCAGCACTCGCTTCTTCACCACCAATGTTTATATTGGTGATCTTGTTCCGGATCTTAAACCTCTGTAACCACCCAGAGGAAGCATTAAAGGGTTTGGGCTCTGAAGTTCCCATCTTTCGTGCCACTGCCATGTACAGTTCACGTGCGTAGTCCTTAACAGAGCGCGTGTCGACCGCCATGTTCCGTCGCGCCTGACGCACCAAGTACCTCACAAGTAATTTTTCTGTCTTGAGAAGCACCTGGTTGTGAAAATACTTGATCATAGAAGCACCTGTAGACTTTGTGATCTTCATGTGCTCCTTTATCTTGGCTGAATCCTTCTTTATAGTCCGGATCGTAGATTCGTTCACACCATGCTGGCGCGCCAAATCAACCTGCCTTGTTCCTTTCTCCAACTCTTGGATGATGGTATACTTCACCTCGTAGCTTAAGGAACGTCGTGTCTTCTTTGGTTTAGTGCCGCTGGGTCCAGGTAAGGAAA